GGAAAAAAAAAAAAAAAAAAAAAAAAAAACAGCAGACACTGGCAAATCCAGGAAAGCGATAGGCCTAACCTTATTCCAAACATGCAGTGGATATAGTTCCAGATTGCACGTCTAAGCATGGAAGTATCCACATCTTTGTGCATAGCCATTGTGTGGTAGGTCAGGTTGTATGCAATATGAAACTTCTCGTCAAGTAGCTGTCCCACATCTGGATAAAGACGATTAACCAGGGAATAGCCATGGTCCTCCCAGGAATAATCCTTGAAACAAAGAAAGCACAAGTCAGTGCATAAAGAAGAAACACACAAAGGTTAAGCACTTCTGTTTATTTTGTCTCAGAATAAATAAGATTCAGTGGCTGCCTGCTTAAATTTAAGGGGAAACAACAGTCTAGCTTGTTCACCACAAAACAGTCACTAGTTCTCAGGACCTGGTCTGACTTTCACCAATTATACAGGGCATTTCCTGAGGCTTGTTACCCAAGACCTGCCTGTTACCTGAACACGGAAAGTAGGCACATGCATTCCATGTCTGGAGAAGTCTTTATAACCATAGCTTGTATCTTCAAAGTGACGAGAGACATCTCTAGTTGGTGCCAATTCTTCCTCCTCTGTTAAAATCACATATACAGAGTGGACTTCACAAATTAGTTTAGATGCATTTCAAAAACAAAACAAAATGAAAGTATATTTATGGAGTTATTAAGGATACTTCCTCTTTCAACAGTACTTGCTCTCCAGTCCACCCCTTCCACCCATCAAAAAAGATGTTAAATATCTCGATTTCTCCAAATCAGTTAGGTAAGGCATGATGAGTACACATATCCACTACATATTTTTACCTGAAAAACACACAAACATGCTCTCCCTCTTCTCTCTCTCAAAACGTGTGGCCATCTCTTCTTGGCTGGCTTCCTCTTCATCCCTGCACTCCTGTAACTGCTTCATTTTCTCCATGAGCACTTCAACTTCACAGAGAGACTCTGCAGTCTTAAGAAAACCCACTGTCAAATCTCAAAATTCAAATTCCTTAATCTGTCCTTAATTTACATAATTCCAATTACTGGGTTTTTCCCCCCTTTTCCCTAGAAAGACCAGAACAACTCTTAAATTAAGGTGTATTAGCACCTCAGCAGCTCTGGGCTGATTTTCTTTTCTCACTTACAATTGGAGGTTATTTTAAAATGTTCACAAATGTGTACTTTTCTAGTATGAAAGAACTACAATGCAAAAATCACCCAGCCCAAAGTAAAATTCCCATCCACCTTTGTCCGCTTCCCCTCTGTATTGCAGTCTGCCTATTCCTTCAGACAGCACACCTCAGTAAAAAGATGTACCAAACCCAGACTCTGTTAAGATAAAACGAGAGCAAGACCCAGAGTTGGGTCATCAAACCCAAACCTCTTTTGTTTCTACTGGGGCCATAATCTGAAGCCTGAACAAGTGAGAAACCAATGCAATCCACACAGCAAAAATGCCATGGGCAAGAAATGCCAGCGCACACAGGAATTTAAAAGTCTGGATAGTCTGAGTACAGGTAAGCTGGCAACGAGACTGCTCTCTCAAAGTGACAAAAATAAGCATCACCTTCAGGGGGAAGAGGTTTCTATATTTCAGCCAAACAGATGTAAACATTTATTTTGGCTACTACTGCTACCTACACACGCACAAGCAGTCGGGGGGCCGAGAAGACTCCCAGTCTGTCCTCCCTGCGACACATGGAGGGTAAACAACTGAAGGACAGGCACAGCCCATCACTTCTGGCTGATTCCCCCTCTCTACCAGCACCATTTCAGCTTCACTTAAAATTTTATCTTAACCCAGCTGTCTTGTCCAAACTCAGTCAGACTCCAGGTAAATCACTCAGTTTTGCCACCAATGCGAGACAAAATGAAGACAAAGACCTAGGTGTCATCCCCATGTTAAATTAATGCAGAACTAGCAGTTTGAGACTGCTAACACTGAAAGCCATTAGTATTTATGCAAACTGATACTTACTGAGATGCTTCCAGTGGGGCTAACTTGCATCTCATCAGCCCCATGGTTACCATTTGCAATATCACAGATACAACAGTTACTAACTGAAGGGGGCCGGAAGGTGTGGCCCCCATCGCAATGAATTTCCGGGCTGATTCCACAGCCAAATGTGAAAGAAGCAAGTGAATGGTAGTGCGTGAGGAGAACTACAGCATGGATGAGCTCTGCCAGGGACCAGCTATGCTCTTCAGTCTTCAAAAGTTGCTTTAAAACAAATGCAAAACAAGAGTTACTTTAAAAACCCAGTGGTGGTTCAAATGCTTCATCAGACTAATGAGCCTAATCCCACAACAATTCATTCTCTAGAAAGAAGCCATTCCTCTAGAATTCACAGCCTCTTTCAAGACCTCAGTGAGCCAGAAGCTGTATAAACAAAAGCAGAGTTTACCCTTTACAACAGTTAGACAGAGAGTGGGTGAAGTAAAGGGTAAAGTGTATAAGTTTGAAAGTTAGATTTGGTATTCCCTAATTAAAAGACAAATACCCTCATAAATTAAAAAGAAGTATACTGACCCTACCCCCAGTATCTAGACCAAAGTCTCTCCTGGGATCATTTTATTCTAGATTCTCAATTGGCATTTTACCTACAGGGGGGAAACAAGAGGATTGTACGAATGGATTCACATGGGTAAACCAAAGAACAGATAACTTTTTATTTTTTTGGTTTCAGAAGCAATTGGATCAGTTCAAGGGCCTTTATTTTGCTTACAAATTTCTACTAAAAGCAAGTAGGGTTTTAGAATCACACCATTATAGTAAAACATAATGCTGCTACTCAGGGTTTTAAAATCTAGCATGCAAGTGCAGAGGTTGAATATTTTAAGTCTGTTCTTGTCTCAGAAAGCCCCAGGCAACTCCTGGCAAATTAGCTACCTAAAGAAGGTCTGGGGGTGGCTGAGGGCCTCGTCTTCCCCACGTAGGTGGAATGCTCTAGCTGATAGGATTCTTCAAGCCTCAGCTTCCCCTTCAACCAGGAAAGAGTAGGAGGCTCTTGGCCTTTTTGCAGACAGTAATGCTCCCCCTCCTCCCCACAAAACCAGCCTCCATCTCCCCACCTGGCAGATGTTACAGAGCAAGTAGCAGCAGACTCCTTCCTCATTGCTAAGATTAGAGAAAAGCTCTGAACAGCAGCTGCCAAGCATGAGGTACTTCTAACGAGGGTCAGGTATTTGACCAGTCAAATATCAGTCAAAAATTGTTAAAAATTGTAAAAAGTTGCCAATTGATCCAAATAATACATAGAAGCAGCACACATTTTCCATCAAGAAACATGTAAAAAAAAGACCAAAAAAATCATATTTCTGTCAAGAAAACTGCAACAACAAAAAAAAGGATTAAAACGGGGTTCTTTTTTGTAAACCCACTATAATTTTTGACCAGTCCAAAAAAAAAAAAAAAAAATGCAGCCAAATGACCAGCTTGCCAACCCTATTTCTAACCCCGTAGCCAGGGGTGTGATCACAGCAGGTGTAAGTATGTTCAAACTACCTGTAAACCAGTCTGTCTGGGAAACAATCATAGTAAAGAGCTAGCATAGCAGCACAGGCTTCATTGTGGAACACCCATCAGACTAAGCATGAAGGGCTCATGGTGAGTGCAGACAGCATGCACCATCACATCTTCACCCTGACTGCTACTTAGGTTAGCAGGATGAAAGCTTGCTTGGGTATGTCTGCATATGCTACAAACATGCTTCCCAGGGACAAAGGCTAAGTGCAGACAGTCAAAAAACCCAAGGCTGAATCGATTCAATCTTTGCAGGTTAGTCTAAGCTGCATAAATTGAACCAATAAGCAAGTGAACAGACATTCACTTTTGATTCCAGAAATGCAGCCACATACCTGCAGTGGCCCAGGCCAGAAGCTGGGGGGCACTAGGGCACACCTCCCTGCTCGGCTGCAGCAGACATCTTGGGCCAAAGCTAGCCCACCCACCCTACGAGGGGGAGTTTGTGGGGGCAGTGCAAAGCATCCTGGGATGCTACAGGACTGAGTTACCTTGAATCTGGAGGGGATCCGAGACAGAAGTTCAATAAACCAATTTACCCTAAATCAGTTAAAAGTCTGATACTACATCTATCCAGGTTTGTCTTAAACTGGTTTATGTGCACTAAGCTTCTGTTGTGTTACAGCTCTGAACCACCTTCTGATCTCTTATACTGGTTTGTGTCATTTCTGTCCCTAACCAAAAATGATACTAGCAGGGAGGCAGTTTGTGACTTCAGAGGTGAGAGTAGGGAAGCTTCACTTCAGATTTGCTTAATTTATTATATAGAAATTTGCTTGTAAAAAATTTCAAATAGAAAGCTCATGAAGTCAGTAAAAGGAACAACACAGTAGGCTAGATACTTTATGTTAAAAATAGTTTTCAATGATTCAGATAAAAATATGTTGATCCACTCCTGTTCTTGTCCACTGATATCTCACAGATACTCAAGTCACACTCTTGCTTTTATTTTAAGTGCACATCTGAGCACATACATACACAATTTTTAAAGCCTCAAGTGGGGTTGTATAGAGCCACAGGCATTTTGTAATTTGGTTCCAAGCAGGCCTTAATTGGAGCTGCAAAATCAGGTGCTACATGCCAATGCCATATTTCATATCGATTGGCAGTGCTCGTCTTAGTAGGGTTAAATCTGAAGTACCAGCATCTTACATAAAAAGCAGATTGCTTTAACATAAATTTGTATCATCTCCCAGGGGATTCCCAAATAAGAGCTCCACTGAACGCACTGGGACCAGTAATTATCAAGCCAATTCCAGGTTGCATCATGCAATATCACAACTATAAATAAATATCAAAGTATTTCCTCCCTGGGCCCAGAATATGTAGATTGTGTTTCATGTAATAAAGATTCACTGCATACTGCACAAAAGAAGAGCTACCTCAATATGTTCTTTGGTGAGAAGCCAGGGCCGATGAGCCAATATTTTGTTCAATTCTCCTAAATTCTGCAGTTTTTGAGGTGCATTTTCCAGGCCATTCAGCCATTTGGGATCTCCTCCAACATGAAGGAAATCATTAACGTGGAGGTTAACAAGATAGGAGCACTGATGCCTTGCTGCAGCCTAGGAGGAAAACAAACAGTTTTAATCCAGAAAACAATCGCTACAAGTTGGTGCTTTACAATGACATTGTCTTTTCAAAGTAGCCAACATAAGAATCTGCAGTGGTCAAAATTTGAATTTAAAGCATTAACTTCTAACTAACGTGGTAGCTTGTTTTAATTATTCTTGAAAATATACAACTGAGCCTTTTTTATTCCAACACACTGTTACAATGTCTTGGTTTTGCATCTTTAAAATCCAGTCAATTATAACAGACTTGCTGAAAGCCAATTCTCAGACACCAAGAGAAACAGAGAACGTGATAAAGCATTGTTTACTTAAGGCAGGGATCCAGCTCAGATCTGGGCTGTGGGGGCTCCTCTCGGGCCAGATCCTTGGTGCCAGCAGCACCAGTGCAGGTCTGTAGGCTTCCCTGATGATCATGTCCATTGGTCCAGCAGAAGGCCATGACCCCAACTTCTGGTGCCGTCAGCTGGAATGGTTTCATGTGGTGAATCCGGCCTGCAGGCCATACTTGACAGCCTGCCTTAAGGGAGAACATCTTCCAAACTAGTTTTGACAAGGCCCAAAGTTTCAATATAAACAGAGTGGACACAATACAACAGATTGTGCCACAGCATCAATGAAGGCTACACTACCACCTCTTGCACAACACTGAAACAGGGTTGAAAGCTGACAGAAATTTAATTGGGATTTGCAGCTTCTGAAATATTGCTGGAATGCTTAAGTTAGTTGCATTGAACTGTGCTGGATAAGTCACAGATTTTTAAGCATCTGTCTTGAACATGTTTTTGAAGTACCATGAAACTGATAATAATTTCTACTGATAATAATTTCCCTACTTCTATGACATGCTTTTACCTTTTTCCATGCTCTTACTGAAAGCATTAGTATGCAGATGCTAAGCACCACCTTTGTTACACTATTTGGAAAAGAAAATAAAGAATACTTGTATAAAGCATAAAGTACCTTAGGTAATTTACTGTGGTAGAAGATTTGGTTGGGCTTCTGGCCTGCTTGACTAGGAAAACGGACAGAGACCA